GATCGTCGTAATCAAAGGACTCAAGAGTACTCATGAGAGACAAACTGTACTGCCTTGAACAAAATGACGAAATACGTACAGGCTAGGACTCAGTGATGAGATACATTGTACCTACCTTTGACAAAAAGCTGAGATATTATTGCCAACCTTTCGACATAAAGATGAGATATAGTGTACCAACCTTGGTCACACTGAGCACAAAGATAAGATATAAATGCATCTATCTTTGGTAGAAAAATGAAACATAAATGTACCTACCTTTGGCAGAAAGATGAGATAGAGACTTATCTCGGGCACAAATGCTATAATATCTCGACATTTGGCACAAGGATGAGACATAATGGGTTTACTTTGAGCATACAGATGATGTGTACCAAACTTGGACACAAACATGAGATATGGTATACCTACCTTGGGTTCAACGATGAGAAATGGTTTACCTACCTTGGGTACAACGATAAGACAGGGTATACCTTCCTTGGGTACAACAATGAGAAATGGTTTACCTACCTTGGGCTCAACGATAAGACAGGGTATACCACCTTGGGTTCAACAATGAGAAATGGTTTACCTACCATGGGCTCAACGATAAGACAGGGTATACCACCTTGGGTTCAACGATGAGAAATGGTTTACCTACCTTGGGCTCAACGATAAGACATGGTATACCGGTACCTACCTTGGGTACAACGATAAGATATGGTTTACTTACCTTGGGTACAACGATGAGATATGGTTTACTTACCTTGGGTACAACGATGAGATATGGTTTACTTACCTTGGGTACAACAATGAGACACATGGTCACGGTTGTAGCGATGATTACGATGATGGAGGTCAAGGCATAGTTGAGGTCAAGCTGCGACCCCAGGGTCATGGAGACGGTGGCCCCGAGGAAGCTCAGCACTATGACGTTGTAGATACAGAGACCAATCATCTTAGAGTCGTTCAAACCATCAATTTTCACCTGTACAAGAAGTCAAGAAGATTCTTCTCATCGTGTTCATTATTCATTGTGAACATATATGGTGAAAATGCAGAAATAATTTTGTCTGAATAATGTTGAAACTTGTACGCAACATGCCATACCGTCTATGTCGTGAAACTGATTTTCTTTCATCGTACCCGTACCTTTGCATTTCACCAATTCATGCGCCTACACCCATTGGGCTTTTCTCAATAGACTGATGCTCCGAGGTATATAGATGAAACGCATGGAGATAATAACGAATGCCATCTTCGTTATTTCGAGGAACACACGGTTCGCGGTTGATATAAACATCAGGTGATTGTTGGTACTGACTTGCTTCTGATGGTCTTCTTTTACTTGAACGTAGAAATTACTGTACTCAAGGCTTGCACAAACGTATTACACGAACGTGTAAAGGACATAATGTATGGATGTCAAATTGTTTATCATGATGGAAAGAATGTATGGATGTCAAATTGTTTATTATGATGGAAAGAATTTATGGATGTCAAATTGTTTATTATGATGGAAAGCATTTATGGATGTCAAATTGTTTATTATGGTGGAAAGCATTTATGGATGTCAAATTGTTCGTTATGATGGAAAGAATTTATGGATGTCAAATTGTTTATTATGATGGAAAGAATTTATGGATGTCAAATTGTTTATTATGATGGAAAGCATTTATGGATGTCAAATTGTTTATTATGATGGAAAGCATTTATGGATGTCAAATTGTTCGTTATGATGGAAAGAAATTATGGATGTCAAATTGTTTATTATGATGGAAAGAATTTATGGATGTCAAATTGTTTATTATGATGAGCAGAATTTATTGATGTCAAATTGTTCGTTATGATGGAAAGAATTTATTGATGTCAAATTGTTTATTATGATGAGCAGAATTTATGGATGTCAAATTGTTCGTTATGATGGAAAGAATTTATGGATGTCAAATTGTTTATTATGATGAGCAGAATTTATTGATGTCAAATTGTTTATTATGATAAGCAGAATTTATGGACAACAACGTCTTTATTGACGTAGAAATTACTGTACTCAAGGCTTGCACAAACGTATTGCACAAACGTGTAAAGGACATAATATATGGATGTCAAATTGTTTATCATGATGGAAAGAATGTATGGATGTCAAATTGTTTATTATGATGGAAAGAATTTATGGATGTCAAATTGTTTATTATGATGGAAAGCATTTATGGATGTCAAATTGTTTATTATGGTGGAAAGCATTTATGAATGTCAAATTGTTTATTATGATGGAAAGCATTTATGGATGTCAAATTGTTTATTATGATGAGCAGAATTTATTGATGTCAAATTGTTCGTTATGATGGAAAGAATTTATGGATGTCAAATTGTTTATTATGATGGAAAGAATTTATGGATGTCAAATTGTTTATTATGATGAGCAGAATTTATTGATGTCAAATTGTTCGTTATGATGGAAAGAATTTATTGATGTCAAATTGTTTATTATGATGAGCAGAATTTATGGATGTCAAATTGTTCGTTATGATGGAAAGAATTTATGGATGTCAAATTGTTTATTATGATGGAAAGCATTTATGGATGTCAAATTGTTCGTTATGATGGAAAGAATGTATGGATGTCAAATTGTTTATTATGATGGAAAGAATTTATGGATGTCAAATTAGAAATTTTATTATGATGTGAAAGACATTTATGGATGTCAAATTGTTTATTATGGTGGAAAGCATTTATGAATGTCAAATTGTTTATTATGATGGAAAGCATTTATGGATGTCAAATTGTTTATTATGATGAGCAGAATTTATTGATGTCAAATTGTTCGTTATGATGGAAAGAATTTATGGATGTCAAATTGTTTATTATGATGGAAGAATTTATGGATGTCAAACTGTTTATTATGATGAGCAGAATTTATTGATGTCAAATTGTTTATTATGATGGAAGAATTTATGGATGTCAAACTGTTTATTATGATGAGCAGAATTTATTGATGTCAAATTGTTTATTATGATAAGCAGAATTTATGGACAACAACGTCTTTATTGTGAGGATCAGAATTTGCGGATGCCAAATTCTTTATTACAAGGAAGGGAATATTATGGATGTCAAATTCCTTGTTATGTGGAAGAGAATGTTGTGGATGTCGGCTTCTTAACTTTCTTTTATTTCCACTGTAGTAAGTCCACACAGAAACAGGCGCTGAACATAATATCACCCGTAAAGGAGATCAATGCACAGTTATATTTGTATATTTACATATGTATAACTCCCCGTTTTAGACGGCATTTATCAAATACACAATCGCTAAATATGTTGATCTTTATGATTGTTAACAGAGGTATTTCAAGGTTCGTATGTTTAATTCGGTTCCAAGAAATGTTAAAGAGTGTATTTACGGAAAGGTCACAAGTACCTTTCCATTAAGCACCAGTAAAGTATGCAGTAATGTAATAATGAGTTTAATAAAGCACTTTCTCGTCAATTTCCATAAACATACCGGGATGTTCGCCAGCAATTACACATAATGACCAATGGTAATGACTGCATGCACAAACAGATGGACTGTATATATTCATCAGTATTGGTCAACCGATATCAACAGAGAACGTCTTCGAATATTTCTCATAAACCGAATTAGTCTACGTTATACTTACAACAAGTTCATTAGCGATCTCAAGGCTAACCTATGTGATGAAGTTAGGGTCTTCGTCATGGTTGTCTTGACACTGTATTGTGCTATTAGTTATGCTCATCACTGAATCCGATTATATATCATTGTCTTGTCAACTACAGTAACATTACCTGTATTAGTCAAATACAGTCTAATCATCGTTAATAAAATAATTACCTGTATCTTAGTAAACAAGCATTAATATACTGATGCCTTAATATTGTTCCCTATATGAGATTTACTGTAGGCTAATTGTTGAACGTGGAATAATCGTTATGCCTGCACTGACCACATTGAAGATAGGATTGTTTACAGATTGAACCAAACGAGTAAAGTACAATTGTTTTACAGAAACCATATCTATCCTTATTTTGTTTTGTTTTATACCATTCCGGTGTCCGTTGCTTCACGAAAACTTTAACGGCTAAAAGCTCCATCACTTCGGGATATCATCCACCATTCAAATGTTACGTTGAAATACTTTTAAAGGGGCGTTTAAGTCCAATTTCATTAATTCTCGTGTTATGGGTTTCCGGACACTTAGGAACATCAATCGTTGTCTCGATCTTTGTTCAAAGAAAGCTAAATATGTTAAAGATTTGTCAAATTTTATTAAATGTATCAATAGAAGTTTACATATAAATATATGTAATTAAATGTTTGTATCATTCTCTAATGGCATCCTTGTATATATAAATATAAATATACATGTATATTGTATTGTACATTATCCTGCCTCAATTATATCTATCCAATGCCATCTTGGTGTATATATGTATATAAGGTTTTTTTCCACTTCACTCATGTACCACCGTTGGTGGAAGTTGAAAAAATACAAAAACCTTCGAAACCTTCGAACAATTGTAAAACGTATCACAAAGTTGTAAAAAGTTGTCATAAAGTCAAGCCATCATTCAAGAATCTACCGCCTCAACAACCCTCGTTACAGCCGAGTGGGCACTGCTGTCCGAAAACGTATGATCCAACGATATTCTTAGAATAATTATCCAAAGACCACATAAACAGGTATTATTCCCTCAAGTATTTCTTTTTATGAAATTTGAAAATAGAATCCTCTATAAAGGAACGTTTAGGGTTGAAACTCACTTACTCACTTGGATGTTGATACAATACGTAATTTTAACCGATTCTCTCCTACCGTCTCTCACACATTCAAATTTACTACTCGCACTACAGTTCCTCATTTAGAAAATTTAAGCGAAGTCGAATGGGTATGGCCATTAAATATAAATGTTATGTACCAGAGGTTATGGAATTTTTTTGGTATATATAGTAGAACTAAAATGTGACTGATATATTTCGGTCCCATCCATGTCCAGGTCCCATCACTGGTCACTAGCATACAAAGAAAATCTGGGTAACGCTCACCCACGTCGCCTTCGTTTCATCCGATAATACATTAGGAGCTCATCATGTACTGACAATGACAAAATACAGATGTCCATAACGGATCGATTCTATTGGCCCATAAGAGTAGATGTCCATAACGGATCGATTCTATTGGCCCATACGAGTAGATGTTCATAACGGATCGATTCTTTTGGCCCATAAGAGCAGATGTCCATAACGGATCGATTCTATTGGCCTATAAGAGAAGATGTCCATAACGGATCGATTCTATTGGCCCATAAGAGTAGATGTCCATAACGGATCGATTCTATTGGCCCATAAGAGTAGATGTCCATAACGGATCGATTCTATTGGATGTCCATACGGAGGATTCTACTGGTCCATAACGGATCCATTCTATTGGCCCATAAGAGTAGATGTCCATAACGGATCGATTCTATTGGCCCATAAGAGTAGATGTCCATAACGGATCGATTCTATTGGCCCATAAGAGTAGATGTCCATAACGGATCGATTCTATTGGCCCATAAGAGCAGATGTCCATAACGGATCGATTCTGTAGTCTCCTGTAATTAAGTGTAAAGATACTTCATTTGAATTGTGGCACTCATAATGTTTAAAGATAAAGAAACACACACGGGTTAGTACTAACATATGGCACCAAGATAAGAAATATACACACACCCCACCCCCACCCCCCAGATATGCCAGGCTGAACTCTGGTATTCCCTTGTACTGATATGTGTATATCACGCATTCTTTGAAGAGGGACGTCTCGATTCTGGTTATATTTCATTGGTCTATTCAATTTTTCATTTGCACAGCGTTTGTACATACATTGGAAGGTTTAGGGTCTCTGCTGCTTGAGTGTATTCCTTGTTCACTTGGGGAGATGGAGTAGCCTAGTGGTTAAAGCGTTCGCTCGTCACGCTGAAGACCCGGGTTCGATTCCCCACATGGGTACAGTGTGTGAAGCCCATTTCTGGCACCCCCGCCATGATATTGCTGGAATATTGCTAAAAGCGGCATAAAACTAAACTCACTCACTTCTCACTGACAACGAGTGAGTGAGTGAGAAGGCTTTTCATCAGCTTTAAGCAATAGTCTAAGATGTTGAGGAACCCCAGTACATAAAACCCACATGTCATGATATGGAGCGTGATCACCAAACCCCTTCAGAAAGATCCAACCCTAACGAACACGATTAGGAAAATTTGAGCTTTGATTATAGCTTTCAAATCCGCGATTCATAACCCGATATTGACCCTACCCAAATATAACCTCCTAAGCTAAGATGGCATTTAAAAGAATCTCCTCAATAACAATTAGCGCGATGCTGTCAGAACTACATAGCGTTTATCGACTTCAACCCGATATTGTACACACAGCAATATTGGCACAAGCAGGAAGGAGAGTTCATTAATCGTTACTAATTATGAAGATTACTTCCCCTAATAATTATGAAGATTACTTCCCCTACTAATTATGCACTGATCAGTGGAAAACCTTTGTCTTCTAATCATGTCCAAAAATGGGACAGAGACGTTGATGTTGTGAACATTTATCACACCAAGGCGATGATTAGGCAGATAGATCTTCCAGTTGTTTATGAATACATAAAGGTGCATAATTAGTAAGGAACAATCTGGACCACTTCAGCCTTATACAAACCTGCCAATCAATGACATGTGTTAATTTCACGCCTCCTTATTGCCCAGTATATATCGATAGATAGGTAGTAGGGCCTGGACGGGTAACCCGGATACCTGGGACTGGTGGGTAATGAGTTGGATCAGGGTACCCTCTCAGTAAGCGGACTCGTTATGATCATGTGACCAATAGATTAAACAATGCTATATGTTATTCTTTCATGATTAAAAGGCTGTATCGTCTTTGAAGATTTAGATAAAATTACAGTCACTTCTTTTGAATATATATAATACATGGTTAAGATATTGAAAAACTCGACATTTAAGCCTCCGAGCTGAAGAATATATTGCCATTTCTTACAAATTTGATGTCAGGAATTAACATAACGGGTATCCGGGTAGGGTAGGGTAACAGAAAATTTGGACCCGTCCCAGCCCAAATAGGTAGTGAGTGAGATGGTACGCTTTTAGGAGTTTCCCAGAGGTACCAGTGTTGTTGACACGAGAAACGGGTTTCAAACTTTGTGTCCATGCTGGAAAACGAACTTGAGCCTGAGCCTGGCGAGTGTACGTTGTAACAGGTAGGCTACAACACCGGCCCATATAGACCGATAAAAGAGTTAGCTACATCATTGTGAATACAACAAAGATTACGTCGCACTGGAATCTTGGTCAGAAGGTGATATGTGAAGCCGGTCTTCAGAAGATGTACATCTCAGTAACCCATCATGAGAGAGAGAGAGTACTTCTAGTGTCCTTTTACCCTAGAGATGATAAATCTAATATGCATTTATTGAATTTACAAGAAGATGAAAAAGGAATGCCTAGATATCTATATGAATCAACTGTTAAGACACGTTCACCTTATAAAACCATTTCTTATTTCTCGCTAAGGGTTCACCTCTTCTAAAAAACAATAATTTGAGTTTTCTCTAGATTAACTGTCAACATTAGTATTCTGATCAAAGTATTTCTGTACAAATGCGAAAACCATCTCGTTAGTGTATGGTACAGGTTCATTATATCAGTGGGTAAGACTAGGTTGTAATCACAGTCACGCCTGAATGATTTGTCTGACAACTGGGGCGTATGACTTTTGGGACGTCTAACGTTTGGGAGTAAACCGTCTGTGAGCCTGACCACCGGAGCCAGTTAGTTAGTTGCAGTCAGTTTGAGTCAAAATCTTCCCAATGAATTGCACTCTAACTCAAAATCACCGTAAATGACTCAAACCAACGCCAAATTCAATAGGAAAAACATACCAACTCTGAGGAATTTTGTCAATCTTTGTCTACAAAATAAAAAAATGTTGTTCCACAAACGATAATTGTTTTCATTAGCTCTATCACGATTTGTGACAAGGGTGTAGCGACAGCTTAGGTAACAGCCAGGTTAGGGAGAAGCACGTGCGATGTTGATTTCATCTGTAGGGGATGGTATCAAAAGACATCACACTGTGATTCTGAATTTGACATGGACTCAGTTAAGCTGGTTTTATAACGCGGCATGGTGAGCTAGCACAATAAAACCTAAAGCCTAAGTCGGGGCTAGTACAAGCAGACACACATACACACGCTTGCACGTCGTCATATAAGCGAAATATTCTCAAGTACAACGTTAAACCCCATTTCAACTCACCTCGAATAGTCTGCACTTTCATTAAGAAAGAAGCAGACGATACGAACGAATGAACGGTGTTACTTCCCTTTACCTAATGCATTCGGATAAATATCGGTTCATTTCAGAAACGGAAATATACGAGTTAGCAAGTTACTTAACACGTGTTACGACTGATTTCGATGAGGACTCCGTTAGCCGCCTACATGGCAAACACACGCCCGCTTCTTAAGCAATCAAAAGTTTGTGTTTGTAATGTAACTTTGTAAGGCAAGGTAAAATAGTTATTTCCATTTCATGTAAAAGGGTTGGTCACTGTGATACATTTTACTTTACATCAGGCGCAGTCATGTCTTATCAAAATGTCGGCGTCCACTTGAATCTCTCTCCTACATTGTGATCATATTTTCAATCAATGCGACCACTGAATAAACATAAGTTGACCAAACGGGTTTTATATTCGCAGAGAAACTCCGTTTTGTCGCTGTAATTACTCTATCAATACTTTTTTGTATTTGCTAAGACTGTACAGTTATTAATTGATATCACGGAGCGACCCCGTATCAGTTAGATCAATGACTGACTGTGTATTCACCTTCCGGGTTTCCCAGGCGAGGAAAGTCCCCAGCAGCAGTAGGATTCCCTGTATTCCGAACAGAGTACCAACAAAGTAGATCTGATTGGTCGACGTACACGTCTGCACGTGACTCCGTATCTCGATGTCTCTATCTTCGTACACCTGGGGATACGTGAATTTGAAATTGTTATATTTTGCTAAATGTGTGAGAATATAGGTAACGCACTTGAAAAAATCTAAAATATGTGACAATGGGACCACTTAGGGATCAAATACCAAACTTGGTCCAAAGTTGGTCAGCACCGTAACCAAGCACGTTAGCCTCACTAATTTAAATAGTAAAAGTTTGAGACCAGCGTTTCTTTTGGCTTCCCATCACATTAAATGACACAATTATACAACTGAAATACATGTACTACAACCGACTATTTCATGATTTGTAACCATGCCCATCCGTGTCATTCCGGAAAAGCCGAACGGCGGTGTCAAATGCCAGAGAGAGGCGAGAATCGACCAACGAGGCTTTATTTTCGTATTTTCCCAATAGCATCGGCCTTTATTGATTGAAACGTTTTTCGTACATTTATGAAATATCACTAGAAATTACTCTTGCACATTTTAGCATTGATTCCTAAGTGCTTATCAACGTCTTTGGAGTATTTTCAGGAGTAACACACTTTCCAAAGCAATCGCTGAATTAACCATTAATACCTGAGACACTCTGTTTTCCCATTACCACGTAAATGAATATTCATTACATATGAGTCTACTCTTGTTAGAGTCGCAAGATCACTTCTATCGCATTATCCACCAAGGACGATCACATCACCGGCAATGGTGTTATAAACTCATGGGCCAAAGAAAGTATAGGACTGGAAAAATTATTTTTTCACTGTCATTGACATGGTTATGAGAATTGGCAATGTCGGCCCCACTACTGGGAAGGGAATACACCGCCAAAACGCAACACGTTCGAACGGTAGGAGTGATGACGTCACAAATGTGGAAAGCATGTTTCATGCTCCTAGCACGTAATGCACGTGCAGAGTTTCGGTATAAATGCGATGCATCGGTCCAGTCATAGTACAGCTGCTGATTTCATGAAAAATATGCCACGACTGACGCCAGAACAGAGAGAGAGGGCCATAGGGATGTCCGATATGGGAGCGACGAACGTCAGAATTGCAAGAAGATTTGGTTGTACGCCACTGACGATAGCAAGACTCCTCCAACGATTCAGACAGACAGGTTGAACACAGGACAGGCCGAGGAGGGACGTCCACGTGTAACCAGCGCACGTGAAGATCACCATATACGCCTGATACACCTCCGAAATCGATTTGTTACGGCAACGTCAACGGCCGAAACAGCGTTGGGACGTCGTATCAGTCGAAGGACTGTCCTCAGACGTTTGAGAGCAGGTGGAATACGTTGCTATCGACCAGTCCGTGGAATGAGACTAACTCAACAACATCGACTTGACAGACTGCAATGGGCAAGACGAGTATACCGCTGGCAAGTGCGTGATTGGCGTAGGGTCCTCTTCACCGATGAAAGTCGGTTTTGTCTGCACAAAAATGACGGCCGACAGAGAGTTTACAGGCGACGGCGTGAACATTTTGCAGCATCATGCATTCAAGAAGTCCATGCTTATGGTGGAGGTGGTGTGATGGTATGGGTTGGGGTGGCATTATTGGCGCCCAAACGACACCCTTGGTCGTTATTCAAGGGAATCTCAATGCTAACGAGGACCGAAATCAAGTCTTGCAGCCTGTCGTCTTACCTTTCTTGAACAATCAACCAAATGGTGTATTGTTTCAGCAAGACAATGCAACTCCCATACAGCAATAGCGACAAGAAACTTTCTTAATCAGAATAACGTTAACGTGCTACCCTGGCCTTCTCGATCACCAGATATGAATTACGATCGAGCATTTGTGGGATCATTTGGGAAGACAAATTCGTGGTCGTCATCACCCTCCACAGACAAGACAAGAGTTGGAAGTGGCACTGAGGGAAGAATGGCAGCGACTGTCAAATGAAGTCATCCGACGCTTGACGGCATCGATGCGACGACGTGCACGAGCGTGCATTGAGGGTGCTGGCGGACACACACGCTACTGACGTTGTGATCGTTCTGGAACAAACTTTTCTGTCTTTTGTGTGCGCAATTCGTCAAAGGAATATCATTGTAACTTTGGTATTTACCCCCTGACTGTTTGAATGTCAATGTCACCTTGCAGTTCTTTCAACCAGGTAATGATTTGTACCAACAGCAAAGTGCAAATGAATTGCTACAAATTACATCTATTACATAATCCAAATCTTGTGTTTCTGTTTTACTGATCTTCAAAATGACCTATACTTTCTTTTGCCCATGAGTTTATTACACGGAGTATTTGATTACAAAGCATCATCATTATCGTAACTAACACAACTATTAGTGGTAATTTCCAGTCATTTAGTATTCAACGAGAACGTTTACTTACAACTGGGTCAAGGTCGTTGTTAATGACCTCGAGTGGGTCAATGAAGGTCCAACTGAGTAGAACCACTGTGTTGATTGCCACCAGGACTCCGACCATCATAAACAGTTGACTGTCTTTCAGGACCTGGGGCGGAAATAAACATCGATTAATAGATATTTGTGATGGAAGAATATTTACTGTCTCTTTTAACTTAGTACTTTCCAATCCAAAACGAAATGGGTCATTACTGAAAATATAATCGCTCCAGCTAAGCTATATGTTATCTTCAAACAACCGGGATGATAAAATATACATGTTAAAAGAAAGATAAGTGTTGACGACAAACAGTCCATGCAAGAACGTTTCTGGTTTGTAAAAGATAACGCCAAAACATCTTCGATGGTTTGCACGTGCCAAACACGTGCTTAGGGAGATCGAAATCAAGCTCAAACGTCGAATCCTACAGCTGCATACTTACAACACAAGCTGAGGTGTAATCGTCCGTGGTCCCCTGCCATATTTTCAGATGAGGCACGTTTCATATAGTAGTAAACTAGAAATCGTTCCAATTGTGGGCACAAATAGACACTGAAGGGTATTGTTTGGATTTATTACGAGTTGTTTGTGGTATTATTGCCGATATGTCAGCCATGTTTGTGTTTTCTGTGTGGTTTTCAAAAAGTATGTACTTGCTCAAAATTGGTCAACTACAAGTCAGTTGCTTGAGATATGCTTTTGGAAGTGTGACAAAAAGTCGGATTGTAAGCGACCGCCTCCGTGTGCAAGTGGTGTAGTGGTCAGAGCGTCCACCCGGAGAGCGGAAGGTCGCGAGTTCAATCCCCGACCGCGTCATACCAAAAGACGTTAAAATATGGTACTTGTTGGTCCCTGCCTGGCGCTCGGCATTAATGGGTACAACAAGGACTGGTCGGTTGGGAGTCAATATAGTGTGTCTGAGTGGGGTATTCATGCTTCACTGCGGCATGGTATCTCAGTGGGCTAGCACTATAAAACCAGCTTAAGTCTGTGCTGGTACAAGCAGCCGCACATACACACACACACGCATGCACGTCGTCATATGAGCGAAATATTCTCAAGCACGACGTTAAACCCAATTTCACCTCACCTCACCCGGATTGTAAGAATAAATTCTAATCCATACGTCTCCTTCAAAGAAAACCTATGGAAACTAATGGTTCATTTAAAATCGTTATTGGTGTTACGTTGGTGTCTGTACACCGTGACATGTGATTACCTTCTTCTGTTTCGTGGCATTCGTGAAGATAACGTGCACCCTCCAGGTCTTCGCGAACAAAGCACCGAACGCCATGGAGAAGCCCAGCGTCAGGAGGTACACCTTGGACTGGGAAACACAAGGAGGATGCATAGCATCAGTGAATGAACAAATATTGTTTAATGCCGCAGTCAGTAATACGCAAGTACTCTGAATGCATCTGGAAGTGATGAACATGAGACAAAGACTTTTTTGGACGGCAATTTCTTTTCGTTTGTTAGGCGAGACGTTTCGGAATTAATTCCGACTTGTTTTTCAGAAGAATGATACAAACTGGTTCTGACCATATATATCAATAAAATCCTTCTCTCGTGTTCATCTAACATTCACTCACTCACGCACTTACTCTCTCTCTCTCTCTCTCTCTCACACACACACACACACGCACTCTCAGAACAATGTTATTCCACGACAGCATATTAACAAGAACCAGTAACAGTTTATATATCAAAGTAAAAAGATTACTGAGAGCCGTGTAATTGATAGCAATACTTAAGTTACCACGTGTGTAATGGAATCAGGACGAGGTAAATCAGTGGTTGATATCAGGAGCAACGTTCAGAACAGTACAAGCACACGCCATTAACAAGACCTAGTTTAATCTAGAATCCTGTGGGGGTGGAGACAACAGTGGAGTTTGTCAGTGGCAAATCATTGACTATAGGATGGATATCGTTATGTGCCAGCGAGGAACAGAGACTGACTAACCGACCCCATCAAGACAAGCATGGTGTACAATGGATCTGTTCTGACCCGAAATCTTCGCAGTGTCTCTTAACAGTAATGCAGTATAGGGACATAAAGACATTAGATTAAGCTCATTCTTAAGGAGACAGCCATACCTCATCGCGGCCAGTGTCCAATGTTTTCAGGACCAAATGCTCGCCTCATATGATCTCAAACGAGTGGCACAAGGGTCTAGGTGCCGCATTTCGCAATTCAGAGTTGCGTCCCTTGTGTAGGCCAGAACCCTATTGCTGTGGGTTCGATTCCCTGTTCAAGAATTACCCAACTGGTACGCGTATGAGACCTACATCTCAATCCATTTGCAGTTTTGTAGATCGGTGTCTCATTGCGCAAAGGTATCGTAGCGACAAGGTGATCTTAACCCCTTCATTTAACACAGGCATACAACAGTCGTAGCGCTAAGATCGTTTGGACAACATCTCTAATAGTGGCAGGCATAGGTTTAGCGATTTGGAAAGTGATGGTGTGGTGCCAGGAGATTCAGTGAAGAAGGTAATGTCTACTTACCACACACAGGGCTGGTACAAGCTCATTATTTGTCTGCTCTAAGAACACTGTGATGTAGAGGAGTACACAGCCGAAAAGGATGACGTTGTTCAGGCGTGGCGACGACATCTTCACAATGCTGGTAGAACATAGAAGAAAGTATACATCAAGCGTGAGAATAGGCTTGAGAATAAATACTTTACAGTTTCATTGATCATGAGATGTGAGAGACATGCAGTAGCAAAACCTCACCCCAGCGTATATATGAGCTCAGCTTGAAGGGTTAAGTATTTTCATCATGGATTGAAAAGTCACAGTTCAACCAAGTGTGTATTTAAATTCAAATGTTCCAGTTTACCCAACTGCAGATGAAAACTCAGCAAACTGCATCCCCAAAGCCTCCGTTAAACCAACTACAGTTTGTGTGAAAGTGTCAGTTTAAGCAAGTCTATATCGTAAGCCTCACTCTAAAGATCGAATGTGTACTTTTAACCATGTGTAGATTACAGGTCCAGCTCGAGACGGTACATTGGAGATCGCATATGTCTCAGTTTAACCAATTGTGATTTTGAGCTTCAGCGTCTCACTGTAACTGACTGTAAATAATATGTCTCAGTTTAATATGTTATGGATTTGGAGCTCGAAAGTCTCAGTGCAGGACACGGTTCTGGATGCACAGAGATTAGTCTCACCGTATCTTTCTATAATGAATGTTGAAGGCAAGGAAGAATATGCTGAGGGCGATGCCGAGCGCCGAGATGCAGCATATGGACAGATACAAAGAGAAGGACAGGCGGGTAGTCGTCAGATAGATCGTCAAGGAATCCTTCGGTATCTTTCCACCTAGAACAGTAGACGTTACGGAACATATCTTTCAAAACAGTGTGAGTTATATAATTGTACAACAGAGCTTTATAGTTTAAAGTATGACTGCAAAAAGGAGTTGGGAGAAAACACACACACTTTCAATAATACAAGAAATGATTAATTGGTAGATAAGGGATAAGCAGGTGGCCACATATATAACCAGAAAGTATTGAGAATTTAAAGATTGTAAAATTTTATATTTTTTTCACTCATTACTCACGTATTAATGTGAATATTAGCAGAACATAACTCCAGATTCAAAGACAGGTGAACAGTTAGTATTTTGTCAAGTCACCATGGGCAGCAATGCAGGCTTCAATGCGGCGGGTCATACTACTGATCAAAGAAGTTAGAAAGCCGTGATCCATGCTGTCCCAATATCGGACCACCTCTTCTTTCATTTCAGCAATATTTGTCAGATTTTTCTTATTGACACTTGCCTTCATAAGTCCCCAAGCATTTTCTATTGGATTTGGGTCAGGGCTATAGCTTGGCCAATCTAATAATGTCATATTTTGGGTCCGAAACCAGGACTGTGAATGCTTTGAACGATGTTTTGGGTCGTTGTCCTGCTGGAAAATCCAAACATTTCCATAGAACATGTGAGCGGATGGAAGTAAATGTCCCTCGAGAATATCTGTGTACCGCTCACTGTTCATGTTCTTTTCAAATACACAGAGCGGCGTTGCCCCTAACACAGATATGCCACCCCACACGTTAAATTACGGACTGTATTTTGGGCGCTGATACAAAGGTTTTTCAGTTTGTTTGGTTAAGAATTTCAGTGTATTAGGAAACAGCCACACAGTACTTTCATCTGAGAAAATCACATTGTCCCAGTTAAAATTTCTATGCTGTAAGCACCAGTTCAACCTTCGCTCCTTTTGTTCAGGTTTCATGATCGGTGATGGAATTCCTCGACTTTTCTGCCAACCCATTGCATGCAGCTCAGTTCTAATTGTCTCCTTACAGACAGCCACAGTTCCTCTATTAATCATATCCAGCCTTAAGTTTTCTAAACTCCTTCGTTTGTTTTTAGAAACAAGAATACCAAGCTGCCTCCTGTCACCGTCAGTCAATTTTCTGGGCCTACCTTCGCCTCCCTGGTGCTTAATGCCATATCCATTTGCAATATTTTTCAAAACACTATAAACAGTGGACAAAGGGATGCCTGGTTCTAAATGAAATCACTTTAGCTGATCTGATGTCTTTGTTATAAATCTCTAAAATCAACTTCCTCTTCTCTAAATCATCCATACTGAGGATCACTGAAAATGTCGTCTGCCAGCAAGTAAACAAAGGGGAATAACTCTTCACAAACTAATGAAAAAGGATTAACGGAGTTGTCTCTCTTGAATGAAACCAAGCACTTGATAGCTGGTCAAGGTTGTTTATACTAGAAATCCAATTAAACATATTTCTAAAATTCTCAATAATTTCTTGTCATACTATATCAAAAACATTTGCAAATGGGCGCGTGAGTGAGTGAGTTTAGTTTTACGCCGCTTTTAGCAATATTCAGCAATATCACGGAGGTAGCGACCAGAAATGGGCTTCACTCATTGCACCCTTGTGGGGAATCGAACCCGGGTCTTCAGCGTGACGAGCGAACCCTTTAACCTTCAGGCTGCCCCACCGCCCCAATTTGCGAATGACTCGTTGTCTATAAGACTTGCGATCATAAAACCATCAGGGAAAGGCTGGCCGTCATGGTCGCCGTAGCGATAAGATGTTTTCTTGGGACGGGGCCGTTGTCATTGACAACGTAACCTCCGTTGTCATTCACAACGTAACCTGTGACAAGATGGATATCAGCGCGGTAAGGGCTGTACTACAACACATGTCAGGTCTGTAAGCAAGTAATACGGGTGTAACAAGCAGGTGAATTTAAACAAGGCGTGACCGAGGGTATGAGCAGATCAACGTCGGTCATGTATGTCACGTAAGTCACGATGACGTCAATCAGACAACGGTTTTTGGTTTTCCAGTTTGTGGTATAGTTTTGTATAGTTTTGAGGGCAGGAGAGATGTGTTCAGTCCTTTTAATTTGACAGATCAATCGCGCGGCTGAATTTTGTGCCTTCTGTATCCTGTAGAGGACTTGTTTTGGCACACCAGACAGCAGAGTTACAATAGTCCAAGCGGGATGTTACATATGCTTGAACTAGAGCTTGTGCAGATTTCACAGCCAGGTATTGACGGATCATACCAATGTTGCGCAGATGGAAATAACATTGGCGACAGACATTGCGAACATGGGGTTCCATGCTGAGGGCAGAGTCAAAGATTACACCAAGATTGCGAACATGTGGGCGCATTTTTATTGCAGATTCACCGATGCAAAACTGTGGAAGCAGAAGCTTTTTCTGAAGTCGAAGAGGGTGGAACACAATGAGCTCAGTTTTATCATCATTTAATTTTAAGATAGTTCGAAGACATCCAACTCTTGATAAAATAAACACATTCTTCTACTCTTGAAAAGGAGAACTTGGTTGAAGATGCGTCAGATGGCTTGAAGGATAAGTAGACTTGCGTGTCATCAGCATAGAGGTGCATACTTAAGTTGTAGGACCTTACAATATCACCGAGGAAAGATGTGTAACATGTGAAAAGTAGGGGGCCTAGGACGGAGCCCTGAGGCACTCCAAACTTCAAGTACGTTGCCTCTGACCTTTCACCCTGGATGACAACTGCCTGCATCCGGTCTGTTAAGTAGGAGACAAACCACCTTAATGCAAGATCTTTGAAATTGAACCTGTTGTCAAGGGTAGAGAGTAGCACGGAATGGCCAACAGTGTCAAAAGCAGCTGAGAGATCCAGCAATACAAGAATGGCCGCTCCATCGGTGTCTGTGCCTCTTAGGATGTCGTTCTGAACCTTCAGCAACGCAGTTTCCGTGCTGTGGAAGGATCGGTAGGCAGATTGACACTCTTCATAGAAGCTGTTTCTGCTCATATGGTCTCTGAATTGAGAAGCAACAATGCGCTCAATCAGCTTAGAAATGAATGTCAAATTGGATATTGGTCTGTAGTTTTTTAACAATTCGTGATCGAGATTCTTCTCTTTTATGAAGGGTGTGATAATTGCTGTCTTCAGTTGACCAGGCATTACACCTTGGCTTAGCGAACTGTTGGTGATATACGTCCAGATAGGAAGAAGAGATTGAATGGTTTGTTTCAAGAGCCACGTTGGTAATGGGTCAAGCAAACATGATTTCGCTGGACATTTGGAGACAAGTTTGGACATTTCATCTTCCGTCACAGATCTAAACGAGGACAAAGGAAGGGAGTTCGTGATTACTGGAACTTTCGCGGCATCATGGTTATATTTGAAGGATTGGCGTATGATGTTGATCTTGTCACTGAAGAAGCCCGAAAACCGATTAGCCAGTTCATCAATAGATGTGTGAGATGGGAGAACAAGAGAGTTCCGTTTAAACAACAAGCTGTTGGCAATTCTGAACACTTCCTTCTGTCCAGTAGCTGTATTAATGGCATCTTTATAGAAGTCTGATTTTGCAGCCTCAATCAGTGATGCTAATGCATTACACTGTTCACTATGCATCTGTTTGTGGATGGTCAATTTAGTTCTCCTATACTGACGTTCCAGCTTCCGCCTCTGTCTCTTTGCAGCACGGATGTTATCATTATACCACGGAGACTCAGGATGGGTTGTGATGGTACAGGTTTTGACAGGTGCATGTTGGTCCGCTAGCTGTCGGAGCAGTGAATCGTACATGTCCACAGCGTCAGAAACAGACATGCCTCGGTAACTGACACATGCTGTTGATATATCTTCACCGAGAGACTTAATGTCAACGTTTTTCCATTTCCGATACGTGACAACATTCCTCGATCTTTTCTTGACTCTGATGTTCACAGTAAAGATAATACATGTGTGGTCCGACTTGACAGAGTGATCAAAGGTCATGTGTTTAATGTCCAGTTCCTGCTCACGGACGATCACCAGATCCAGAATATGACCCCTGGAATGGGTTGGTTCACTGACAACTTGTATGAGACCATGGGTATCCAGGATATAGAGCAGACGTTTTGCGTTAGCATCTTCAGGATTGTCAATGTGAAAATTGAAATCCCCACACTAACAGTTTTCCAATAACTGTGTTCAGTGTATCCAAAAGTGCCGAGAAATCATCAAAGAATATTGTGGCCTGTAAAGCACTATAACTGAATCGGTAGTAGCTCGAATGAATCAAAATGTCTAACATCAGTCAGACGACGCAATTTTAATCTATCATCATACACAACACCCACTCCGCCACCTCGCCTGTTAGATCGGGGTACGTGAGTAAGTTTGTATCAATTTGGAACAAGTTTGTTAATTGGCAAGGCATCAGTGTCATCACTTTTTAACCAGATTTCTGTAATTGCCAAACCATTTAATTTACTATCCCCAATAAGATCATGACTTGTTCGTGCTTTGTCATTTAAAGGTTCACATGTCTTTATAGATCTGACATTTAACAGTCCAATGTTAAGATTGTAAGTTTTGTATGTCGAGAGAATATCCGTAGAAATTGAAGAATTCTATTTATTTTGTCCTCGAAATAAAAATATGTTTAAACCAAGTATATGCCTCCATAACCAATGCCTATATGAAAACCCCAAAAGCACAGAAACACGAGATGAATTCGTATCTAACCAGCCTAATATTTCACTCATTGAACGACGAGCAAATATTGATAGCAATAATTACAAGACCTTTAAAAACTTACGAGACACTCTGTCACGATAGACTCCTTGTACAAGAACAGGTGTTATAATCATCCTGGCATTTCTCTGTCATATCGACTAAGTAAACTCTCGATAAGAGACCCATTATCGCTCCACCGTCCGACTGTGTTTGCACTATGTGTGTACCTATTTGTAGCCAGCACTGCTCTAGGCAAGTGCTCCGAGGGGCACAGTGTAACCAGTGTGTTCTGATTGTTATACCTGTTTTGTTATACCTAACGATTGTTCTATATTGTTATACCTGCCCATACGATGGGTGTAGCTGGTAGCCATTCGATCTTCACATCGGCGACCAGGTTCGGATCATAGAGACCCACCATCTGCACCTCACCACCTGTAAATGTACACAGAAACACTTAAGAGTGTAGTTTGTAAATAGACAATGTTATTGGTAATTTCCCTTGACATTATCTCCGGGACCACGAGCAGCTGCGAGGCATACATGTTCGTCAATAAAGAAATCACTGACGATTGACCATATTTTGAAGTCTGAAAAACAATGCATGTACATCGGACAAACGGGATCACAGATTCATTCCTGTTCTGGGGCGGTGGGGTAGCCTAGTGGTTGAAGCGTTCGCTTGTGAAGACCCGGGTTCGATTCCCGACATGAGTACAATGTGTGAAGCCCATTTCTGGTGTCCACGTCTGTGAAATTGCCGGAATATTGCTTAAAGCGGCGTAAAAACATACTTACTCACTCACTCACTCACTATCCTTTACTGTCGTCGGTGTATCCATCCATCCATCGATCGATCTATCTACACATAATTAATGTCCGAAGGCGAAGAAAAAACAAACAAAGCTAGGATAAAAGCAGAAGCACTACCTAGGACGATACCGGGACGTAAGATAATTGATATAAGGAGTATTTTAACGAAAACTTATCAACCTAATCTACACGTCCAAGTACATTTGCGGAAGCAATTCAAAGGTAGATTGTTCATTTTGTCCCCTGATGGAGTAGATAGTTACTCTGGTTCTTATATTTCAAACTCTAAAGTACGTTAATGACGAAGCACATCCGTGACTGATTGAAAAAGACACCTGTATGTTTCCGCATACGACGGCGTTGCTTTGATCGGTTAGCGATAACACGCTGCTATTGATTGACAGTCGTTGCTTTATCGCATCATTCAAACAGGACACGGCCGTGCATCAAAGATGGTGATTGTGTGAGGAGATAATGAACGGTGTTGGGTAGCACCTGCAGAATGAAATGCGGTTCTCTAGGTTTCTATTTGCAATCTAGAAGTAATTATCTTTAATAAAGATCTTAATGGACCGTTGCATTGAAACGCCAGCAGTATCGTGAAATTACATTTCTCATTGAATGTATCATGCTGCGGTAATGAAAAAATATGATAGTGACATCTCTTAGCAGTGTTTATATAATTGTTTCCATGGTAACCAAACACATACACGTTCAAAGTGCAAAAGGGGCAGTGGGGTATCCTGGTGGTTTTATAAATGGCGTTCGCTCGTCACGCCAAAGACCCGGGTTCGATTCCCCACATAGGCACAATATGTGAAGCCCATTTCTGGTGTCCCCCGCCGTGATAGTGCTAGAATATTGTTAAAAGCGGCGTAAAAGTAAACTCACTCACTCACACAAAGATAAAATGAAACCGTATGCAGCAAGAATGAATGTACCCTGCATAATCACAGTCGCACTCGTATGACCATGACGCAGCGCATATACTGCCACGAACCAGTCTGTGTAACATGACGTGTAGCTTACGACACACTACGTTCTCGCGGTATGGATTCTTACGGGAGAATGTACGTACGCACAAATCATTGACGTTACAAACAAAGACGAGGATAAATATATCGATCGATTATCACAACGTTTGTATTGATTCCTCGCTTTACCTACAGGCTGGGTGACTGTACTGTAGGTATCTTGTTTGGTGTCCTATTTGAGTGGATACACGACGAAGTCATGAATACAATATTGAATGTTTGAATCAAACAAATGAAATGATTGTTTGAAATATTTGTAAATATTAAATATGTCAATGAAATATGCGAAGAGAACATATGTTATCTGAGATTTGAAACAAGCGTTGTTGAGTGTGTTCTTTGTTAACAGCAAATATCCCGACTGATTACATGTACATCCACTGAACTCATGATCAGGCTGATCTACCTTCAGTCGACATTATTCACAAATACTGAACACATGATCACCCCGACAATATTCACTCTCACCAAACTCACCCTGAACACGATCTACCTTCAGTCGACATTATTCACAAATACTGAACACATGATCACCCCGACAATATTCACTCTCACCAAACTCACCCTGAACACGATCTACTTTCAGCTGACAATATTCACTCTCACCAAACTCGCCCTGAACACGATCTACCTTCAGCTGACAATATTCACTCTCACCAAACTCACACTGAACACGATCTACCTTCAGCTGACAATATTCACTCTCACCAAACTCACCCTGAACACGATCTACCTTCAGTCGACATTATTCACAAATACTGAACACATGATCACCCCGACAATATTCACTCTCACCGAACTCACCCTGAACACGATCTACCTTCAGTTGACAATATTCACTCTCACCAAACACACCCTGAACACGATCTACCTTCAGTTGACAATATTCACTCTCACCAAACTCACCCTGAACACGATCTACCTTCAGTCGACATTATTCACAAATACTGAACACATGATCACCCTGACAATATTCACTCTCACAAACTGGCACCCTGAACACGATCTACCTTCAGTCGACATTATTCACAAATACTGAACACATGATCACCCCGACAATATTCACTCTCACCGAACTCACCCTGAACACGATCTACCTTCAGTTGACAATATTCACTCTCACCAAACACACCCTGAACACGATCTACCTTCAGTTGACAATATTCACTCTCACCAAACTCACCCTGAACACGATCTACCTTCAGTCGACATTATTCACAAATACTGAACAAATGATCACCCCGACAATATTCACTCTTACCAAACTCACCCTGAACACGATCTACCTTCAGCTGACAATATTAACTCTCACCAAACTCACCCTGAACACGATCTACCTTCAGTCGACATTATTCACAAATACTGAACACATGATCACCCCGACAATATTTACTCTCACCAAACTCACCCTGAACACGATCTACCTTCAGCGAACAATATTCACAAATACTGAACACATGATCACCCCGACAATATTCACTCTCACCAAACTCACCATGAACACGATCTACCTTCAGCGGACAATATTCACAAATACTGAACACATGATCACCCCGATAATATTCACTCTCACCAAACTCACCCTGAACACGATCTACTTTCAGCTGACAATATTCACTCTCACCAAACTCACCCTGAACACGATCTACCTTCAGCTGACAATATTCACTCTCACCAAACTCACCCAGAACACGATCTACCTTCAGCGGACAATATTCACTCTCACCAAACTCACCCTGAACACGATCTACCTTCAGTCGACAATATTCACAAATACTGAACACATGATCACCCCGACAATATTCACTCTCACCAAACTCACCCTGAACACGATCTACCTTCAGTCGACATTATTCACAAATACTGAACACATGATCACCCCGACAATATTCACTCTCACCAAACTCACCCTGAACACGATCTACCTTCAGTTGACAATATTCACAAATACTGAACACATGATCACCCCGACAATATTCACTCTCACCAAACTCACCCTGAACACGATCTACCTTCCGTTGACAATATTCACTCTCACCAAACACACCCTGAACACGATCTACCTTCAGTTGACAATATTCACTCTCACCAAACTCACCCTGAACACGATCTACCTTCAGTTGACAATATCCACTCTCACCAAACTCACCCTGAACACGATCTACCTTCAGTTGACAATATCCACTCTCACCAAACTCACCCTGAACACGATCTACCTTCAGTCGACAATATTCACTCTCACCAAACTCACCCTGAACACGATCTACCTTCAGTTGACAATATTCACTCTCACCAAACTCACCCTGAACACGATCTACCTTCAGTTGACAATATCCACTCTCACCAAACACACCCTGAACACGATCTACCTTCAGTTGACAATATCCACTCTCACCAAACTCACCCTGAACACGATCTACCTTCAGTCGACAATATTCACTCTCACCAAACTCACCCTGAACACGATCTACCTTCAGTTGACAATATCCACTCTCACCAAACTCACCCTGAACACGATCTACCTTCAGTTGACTATATTCACTCTCATCGAACTCACCCTGAACACGGTCTATCCTGAACATAGCCACGGGGTCACCTTTCTCATTAAATGCCACTTGACCCCTGACCCCTCTGTATTTGACATTCAGCATCTTGGTCCAGATAAGGAGGCCAAGTTCGTCATCATTGTAGGCAAAGTCTTCGAGCCGTTTGGGGCTCCCTTGAAATTAAAACAAACAAAGACATTAATGTAATCATGTTAAAATTGCTATGGTAACACATCCCATTCAACAGAATTCCATTTCCCAGAAATACATCGTCATTAAGTATTTTCGACAAAACAAACAGTTAAAAACGTTGTAATTATTTTTGTTTTCTTCAGCAAACCAAGGTCGCCATAACAGCCAACTGACGGAACAGACCCAAGTCCGCTGACTTGGTTAATGAATGTCATTGTATCCAATGATGTTAATGACTGGATTATTTACAGACCGCCTTCATATACTGCAGAATTAGATGAACCGACACGCAAGCCGTTTGTGAAGAGGCGGCTCATTACAGCATATACCGCTTCGTGTTTGTCTGGCAGCCTGCCTTACATTTGTTAAGGTTTCCGTCAAAGTACCAACTTAGGTATTTAATGGAATGACGTGTTTTTGCTGTTCGAACAATTTTAAGGTTTCGAGACAACAGAGTTGACCTTCGTCCACATCTGTACAAACCGAAATATACTAGCAAAGATGTAACTTATTCTTTAATTCCTCAGACGGAGCAAAGTTATGTTCTTCATAAAAAAGGGTCGATTAGTTTAGGAACATAATGGACATGGCAAAAGAAAGTCAAAACTCTTACATATGATATTAAGTATAAAGTACTTATTGTTGCATACGTTAAAACAATAATCTGTAAACAGTCGGCAGAACCTTGTAAATGTAATGTCCAAAACACAACGATGGTATCGAGATCACATACATCACCATCGAAGAACCGCGTTTTGTCAGTTAGATTTTTATCCATCAAACATTTGTGTATTGTCAACGTATATGCCAGCGAGGAAGAAAACGAGGACACGAGGTGTCCCGACTGTACAAACGAGGTGTCACGGTGTACTTTTCAATTTCAAATTGTATTCAAGTTGTAATGTAGTGGCTCAAGTTGTGTTTACAGCATGCACAATGTGCTTTTGATGCAGAAGTTGTGACCACAGCGTGCACAGTCAACATAGTGAATTTGTTAAAGGTGTCTCCAGAGCGTATAAGCACGTGAAGATCCGGGTTGGAATTGATCTTCAATAACCCATGCTTATCGTCAGAGGCGACTGACGAGATTGGGTGGTCAGGCTCACTGACGTAGTTGACATATGTCATCGTATCTCAATTGCGTAGATCGATGCTCCTGCTGCTGATCACTGGATTATCTGGTCCAGAAGTTAGTTGCCTCTTACGACAAGCATGAGTTACCGAAGATCAGTTCTAGCCACGGGGATAGACGATGAGGAGCAGCATTGCCCAAACCATATCAGAGTAGGACATCAACACACCGAGCATCAGCATGTACAGGACATCAACACACAGAGCATCAGCATGTACAGGACATCAACACACAGAGCATCAGCATGTACAGGACATCATCACACACAGAGCATCAGCATGTACAGGACATCAACACACAGAGCATCAGCATGTACATTGCGATTTCAGAGTATAGATTTTAAGCCGCCTTGAATATTACATGTGCAAAGCTATCTCAACACTCCAACACGGCCCTCGTCTCTTTGCAAGGATTGAAGATTAAAGAAATTAAATGAGATGACTCCAGACTCGACTGTAAAGCATTTCGAGTCGGGGGTCATCTCAGTTTGTTTTTAATCTTCAATCCTCGCAAAGACACTCTATGTCCTAACAAGTTAGCGTTGTGTACAACGGTATCCGGTGATATCATTCTGGAGTACATGAAGAATCGTCTCAACACAATAAAAACATGTTGGAAATCGAAACCAAAAGACAAGTCAGTACGTTAGCTATTAATCTACCCACAGGCTATATGAGAAATTATGTTGTTTAAAATACATGTACATATTTACACTGTGTACAGTTTTACTCCTTCTTGTATGTGTTTTACCAAACTTTTAATATTTTATTTTTTAGCATCACTTGTATAGCACCTGTATATCACCATACAGTATTTTATATGTGAAGTGCCTTAGAGTGTTTTTTAATAAACAAATAAGGCGCTATAGAAATCTTGTGTATTATGTTATGCCCCCTCTACACGGAGCCCAGACAGCGAATGGGCCTTCTCCCAGGAAACACTACCTAGTCAAACCCACCAAGAACTTTCCGGAGAATATGAAGGCTCCCCAACACTGCAGCCTTTGACCAAGATATTCTTGATCGGGTGCTATGCCTTCCCCGGGGGCAAGTCCCATCTCCAGTAAGGTTGGTTTGACTACCGGAGGAAGGCTGACTGGGCTGCGGAGGTATACACGCAGCCAAAAAATGGTATTCTCCTTGGCTTTCGGTAACCCAGTAAATAAACCAGCTTCGGGGGGTCAGCCCTAACTGGGTGATGTACGTTTGGTTCTGGGAATAAAATTCCCCTATCGAGGCCCACCACGGAGAGGTGTACATCATCAGGCCCTTGTGTATTATTATTATTATTATTATGTTTTACAGATTAAAGATAGTATGCAGCAGAGAGGGTTCGGGTGATCCTGTCACAGTCAGGCTGGTAAGGCTCATCATCAGCTCAGGGCGCTTGCCCCCTCTACACGCAGCCCAGACAGCGAATGGGACTTCTCCCAGGAAACGCTGCCTAGTCGAACCCACCAAGAACTTTCCGGAGAATATGAAGGCTCCCCAACACTGCAGCCTTCTGCATTACCCAGAGTGTCAGAACGGCTGTACTCCCGGTGGAGAACCCGGGCACTCTCCTGATCTGCGCCAAGAGATCAGGAGGAACCAAACCAAGGGCACCGAGAACAACGGGGGAGCCTGGCGACAGTGTACTTGGGATGAATTATTATTATTATTATTATTATTATTATTATTATTATTATTATTATTATTATTATTATCCAATGAAAATTAATCCGCATTTCTCTCACCAGTATCAATAAGTTCCGTGAGGGTGTCATTGAGAGCTAACGCCAGGGCCCAGATGGAGTCGTATCCCATGGGTGCGGCCTTGGTGCCAGGGTAGTTGACGTTGTTGGTCCTGTTGGCGTATATAGCCAGATACTGTGAGGGGGTTATGCCGGAGATGGCGGCGATCTCTATAGGGCTGATGTAGAGTCTGTCGACAGCGATATAGCCTTCTACTGCTCGCGACATCTCCTCCGGCGTACAGTCCACGCTGGCGTCGGGAACCAGCCACCAGAAGTCGTCGAACCAGCCGTTGATCACCCATACGATCTTACTGCCGTAAAGTCCCACCTTGTAAGCCTGAAGAAAATTGTGTGTGAGAGGAAGGTGTGCTAGTCCTTTTGATTCAATTATAAACTTTTCAAATTGAGTGAGTATGGTTTTACGTCGCTTTTAGCAATATTCCAACAATATCACGACAGGGACGCCAGAAGTAGGCTTCACACGTTATAACCACGTGGGCAATTGAACCCAAGACTTCAGAGTGACGAGCGGACGCTTTAACCACTAGGCTACTCCACCGCCCCTCTTAGATTAATAGAACGTAGAAAATAAAGTGGAGTGGGTCTAAGATATATATGTGTTACTATGTGAAAGTGAACACTGAGCATGGATTTGCCGCACACAGACCAAGGAGCATAATCGGAGTGCAACTTGGATTCGAACCAGCACAAGCGGATCCTATTACGGCAACTCTGAGGAACGAATGGAATATTTATGTGATCATTGTTTCGACTAGTCAAAACCTTACACTGACCCCTGTTGTACAATACCAAAGCCAGAGATCACTTTCCACAGCAGGATTAATATTGTAGCTGCTTGTCGTCAAGGCTATATAAATCCTTTTTATCTTACTCTGGTCGGAACCTGCAGTGTATGACACGGGGTTTAGCGTCTCATATACATCCGTCTTTCGTTACATTATAACTGCAGGTGCTATCCCAATGTCAACGGTGAAGACCCTGTGATACATTCCAAGCTACAACCCGCCGTGACTTTGCTGGAATGTTGCTAAAAGCGGCGTAAAACCATATTCAGTCAGTCAGTTCAAGCGACAAATATATCCATCAGATGTCAATAAGCAGATACATTATATATGTATCTGCTTATATGTTTTAGCAGCCTTTGCATCATGAATGAGTGGGTCAGTTCAGTTTTACGCCGCTTTTAGCAATATTCCAGCAATATCACGGCGGGGAACACCAGAAATGGGCTTCACACATTGTACCCATGTCGGAAATCGAACCCGGGTCTTCGGCCTTACGAGCGAACGCTTTAACCACTGGGCTACCCTCACCGCCCCTGTACATAATGAGGTCAAAATGACATGTGGTTGACGTCATGAACAACGATCCACGCCGTCGCAGTACGGTGACACGTTTAGTCAGTCAAATATTACGCATAGTAATCCCCGCGGAATGATGTTAAATGTTTCCTGAGATACGGTGACACAAAAAGTAAGTCAAGTATTACGCTTTGGAATCCCCCCGAAATGATGTTAAATGTTTCCTCAGGGGATACCTGCATAATGCAGGCCATCTCACGTTGCACCTGATTGACGAGAATGGTAACACATAGGCTCATTGTCTGCGTTTCCTGGTATGTTAGTGGATCGGCAGATGAAATAATATTGATGATACACTCAGAACAACGTCATGGCAACGACGGGACTGGCAGACACCCTCACACTTCTGGTTGATAATGGTGTCATCTTGACACGTGACCAAATCTCATCCGGGATTTCCGGTCCTGTTCCTTGTTAATACACACGTTGATATATTCTTGTTTGGGGTTAATCAATGTAGCAATGTTTAAATCCCCAAAGATAACATTTCGTTTCATAAAACATGTGTTCACAAAAGAACTTGTAAAGTGCTACTATATATATATTGCTGAAGTATGTCGGTCAGCTAAATATAGAACGGCAGTGCCAAAGAATATCCAGAACATAGTCTTGACTATACTCAGAAACAAATTCCACTTTGGTGGCAAGCTAGCTGTGAATATTATAAGAATGGATCACTGAAAGTCAGTGATGACACCAGGTGTCCACGAAGGGGTAAGCATGTCCAGCCCTTCGGGAGCACCCGCTATTCATAAAATTTACCAATAATGGAACTTTTTTTTGTCTGAAGAAAACATCCAAAATTGGCATGTTCATATCATGTTTGATGTTTATCAGGGGCACTTATTAGCTTCGTTGAATGCTCCTGCTTAGGAGTCGAATGATCTCAACACAATACTAACACTTGAATATAACATTTACAACATATAACAATGCATTTATCAATTTTGGCGTACTTTGTGACTCAATTGTAGCAGAGAGAATTCCCCAGATGAAACCGAATAAACATTATTTATAAAATACAAATGTTATCATATCTTTAAAAAAACTATGATATTGAAAACGCCGTCATTTAAAGATTTCAAAGACTATTTGAAGTCAACCTAATGCTGTGTATATGTTGATTATTTGCAAAGTTTATTTACCTCACAAAACACCTGTCGTGCCATGTTTTCGTAAAAACTGCCCACAATGATCCGCACATCAGCATCCTGCAAGAAAAATAAATGTCTTTTGATTAACGTCCGGAAACCTTTTGGGGTCATTTGGTTTAATACCTGTTCTGTGTGTTTTAAAAAAAATTATCATGGGAGGTTGAAACGTTAAGGTTTTATTTCGAAAATTCAAGGTGTTTTGTTGACATTTCAAGTTAATGAGCAACCTCGGAGTACATTTATATCGTTGACAGGTTTCGTTAGTCCTTTACAGGGGTTCATTACAAACGTTCTTGGCAAGAACAGTTTACATTTCAACAAAATATCTTGAACCCCTAAAATAGTTTTGAAAATAATAATAATAAAAAAAATACAAAAATAATAAAATAAATAAATATATGAATATATGATTGAATGAACGATTAGACAAAAAACCCCAACCAAACAAACTAATAAACAAGTAAATAAATGGCCTTAAAGTTTTCCACATAAACACATACACGTCATATGTAAGTAGATGTTACAAACGAATCTGTCTGTAAATAGTACCTAATGACATAGACTCTGCGATGACATCAATGGTGTTATTAGGGATAGGTATCACAAATAATAATTCATGTTTATTATTTTCAGTAAGTTCCCAGTCGATAGCTCAAGGCTTATTGTGAGACAGCATCAATGGACCAGGACTAGGGCCATTAAGATGGACGTGGTCGTTAACCTGTTGATGGACTTTCAGATATTTTCAATTACTGTAATTCTGAGAGTACAAAATGATTTTTTCCTAATGATGATGTGTAGGAGATTATGATGAAGACAAATCAAGTGAAGTGGATGATATACAAATCAAAATTAGGCTTTGTGTCGAGAAGGAGTAAATTAGAAATGCACTCTTTTGCCTCAGGGTGCGTATATACCACAATCCATTTTTTGCCAGTTTCCTTACATGGTTAACATGTCATGGGATTTTCAATTATTTGTATATATTTTTTGAAATTTCGAGGTCCTTTCGCTATTTTGATCACATATGATAATTTTGATTACTTTTTCGAAATTCCGATTTCTTTGCTGTTATTTTCGCGTCACTTCAAGTATGTTCTATTTACTTTCATCATTTTCTTGTTACTTTGAGTATCTAGGTTCCCTGTAAATACTCGAAATTTTTATGCAATGAAAAAATAATTGAAATTACAAGAATACATTTGAGAAAATAATCGAAGTATCGATGAAATATCCCAATCAACGACATGTCAAGAAATGGGAACTAAGGAAATACTAGTTTTAAAAACGACAAAAACCCAAACAAGCAGTTGAAATTTCACTAAAAGAACACTTTATGCTACTTTTATTCTTTGATACAACGTTTCGGACCCTGTTCCGGACCCATCATCAGGAACAAAAGAAGATGAAATGTTCATCAAATAGCATATTCTAAAATGCCAATCAAGCATCTAGTGTGAATGCTACATAAAAGTGACCCCGATATGTACGTATAATCAAAATCACTGTCATGCCACGACAGGAGACAGTGAGAAAAGGACCCACACATACGTGTAGGGATTCAAACCCGTACCTTTGGCGCAACGTATGAACCAATATGCTACATTACACCCTCTTCTTAATCGTAAGACTTATATATGTAGGCATAGAAAATATGCAATGCAATTATGTTTGTCAATAAATATCTTACGTGATACCTTTTCTCATACGTGAAGGGGCGGTTGGGTAGCCAAGTGGTTAATGGGTTCGCTTATCACGCCGAAGACCCGGGTTCTATTTCCCACATGGGCACAATGTGTGAAGCCCATTTCTGGTGTCTCCCGCCGTGATATTGCTGGGATATTGCTAACACCAAGCTCACTAACTCACTTATTCGTGAAACGACGTTGGTAAATTGTACTCTTAATCATACTTACTGACATGTGGTTTGACATGTAAACACCCCCAACCACCACCCCACCCCCGCCACACACACACACACCCATTTCTTTCAAAAGAGCAATGGAAAAGTAAAAGGGAATATGTACTTGTAAGACACACTTGAATAACATGTCTTCGTCAGTTTATTCATGAACATTGCTGCTCTGTGTTCTGAACCTTCTCTAGATATATCCGTGCCCACAGGTATATCCGTGATTGTAGTGAGTGAGTTAAGTTTTACGCCGCACTCAGCAATATTCCAGCCATATGGCGGCGGTCTGTAAATAATCGAGTCTGGACAAGACAATCCTGTGATCAACAGCATGAGCATCGATCTACGCAACTGGGATACGATGACATGTGTTAATCAAGTCAGCGAGCCTGACCACCCGATCCCGTTAGTCGCCTCTTGCGAGAAGCATGGGTTACTGAAGATCAATTCTAACCCGGATCTTCACGGGCCCGTGATTATAACGCTATAGTGATATACAGAGCCACCACCACTTTACCCAAAGAGCCTTGATCTGTACTGCTGGACTTCCTGTGATAATCTCAGATCTCACAATTGTCATGTTGGCTTCTTTCAGACGAACCATCAGATCCTCTGTTGGCTGTGAAGAAACAGATTCTGTACAAAGATATTTTACAAAGACTTCAACTCACTGCTCAGTCAAGCATCATTGCATAATGTGAACTGTATACACCCACAACAGTTAGTTGCAACGTTTGTGTTGATCAATATTACGCTGTAAGATGAAACATAATCACAATGTATGTTGACAAATAAACGACGACCCACGTGTTTTGGTAACCTTCTACAAAAATCAATATTTGTATTTTCCAGCACGAAATGAACAGGGTAGGTTCATCTGATCAAATATGTCACGTGCAGTAATGGAACGGAACTAGGGTCAAACATCCTGTTTTGTCAATTCCCTGTACGGAAAATGTGAGAAACGCCTGGTTATCAATCTGCTAACAAACCTCGATACTTTTAACAAAGCTAACACACACACCAGCACCCGGTCACACATCCCCACATCCAATGCCATGCCCTAGATTGTACACTTGGTCAAGAAGCTTCCGTCTTCGTAGCAGTATAGCCTGGAGACTTCCGTACAACTGATGAAGTATAGCCGCAACTGCCATAGAGATGGACGCGGAATACTTGTCAGCCTATAATACGCATCATCTATGCATGTGCTGCTGAATCTTGTTTCCTAAAGCGTCAAGGAATAGGGAGTGGCATTTGTTCAGATATGTATGTTTTTTTAATCGCTAGATTGTCACAATGACATCTCAATGACATGAGTCAATACTGCGAGGCAATTCATGTGTAAATAAACTCACTAACACCAGTATAAGATTGAAGGATTGATTGGCAGTGTGGTGCCATACTGTATGTTGAAATATGAATATTGATTGCAGCGTTAATCGTTTGGATTTTTGCTAATGCAGAATAAAATTGTCCCACGTTCGCATTCAAATCAAACCTTTTGATTCACCCACACATGTCCAATACAACTGATATACTTCTTTAAGAGGCATTTTAGAAGTTGTATAGATGCAGGAAAACTAAGTTCTGTGGATAGTCAACTTCTTTATTGCAACGGTGTTATCTGCACCGAAATGTCCCACTCATTGCAATAAAGAAGTTGACTATCCACAGAACTTGGATTTCTTCAACTAAAATAATGTTCAAAGTGGTGCAACATCTAACTAAATTACACACATTCACACTCCACCAATAACCTTTAAATATTATAATGTTGTTAGTTTGATATTGTTTTAAATATTTAACACTGCCAAGAAATCAGTTTCCTTGCAAACAAATGTGTGAGCATATTAGTGCCAGATTCTGACAATAGATCATATACGAAGATGCTGATACATTTACGTAGAAGATACTTTCACCCACATAAATGATACCACAATCCACAAAGTAGAACGAAGGATCATTACTACTGTCTCGAGTAATAAGACATTAGTTCCGGGCCAATTTATATTACCTCTGGCTTGATGAATACTGACCGATTTCTTCTACGCTTTTGATTGGTATGTCTTTATGGAGGTAATGACTGACTGACTGAGTTTGGTTTTACGCCGCTTTTAGCAATATTCCAGCAATATCTTGGCGGGGGACACTATGGAGGTAATGCTCTATGAAATAGTATGTGTATCAGCATCCAATGTACGAGCTCGTGGGCCATATCAGTATAAACCGTCAGTACTAGGAAATTAGACTGGAATTTTAACATAGCTTAGATAAACCTAAATGATCATTTTTTTATGATTTTGAAAAGGATGAAGATATATTGTGTTACATTAATATGTTGGCATCATAGTGTTGCACCCGTCTGTTAATGGATCAATATGTATTCCAAACTGTGTTCCACAGGAGATATCGCTTGTGTGAGATCAAACGATATCTCCTAGGAGATATCGTTTTGACAGTATATTTTGTACAATGCCCTGACAATGCTATGACGTCATGTACTTGATGATGTCACAATGCTATGATGACATCGCTGCACTGCAAGTCTAATGGCAGTACCATGCTCAGAGATGTACATTTTTCATTGAAAATTAATGAAGAGTGATTTTGGATGATAAATAGAATCTCACCCTCGTGTCTTCTGATATCAAATATATCAACACTCGTTGATAAAGTAAAATATCCTCGGCAAGCCTCGGATATTTGTAACTTTAACAACTCGTGTTGATATATAGTGATATCAGAAAGATACTGATGAATTTTCTATGTATTTCAAACCATTTATATTCTATTGAGTTTAAAAGCCTAAAAACATAACGTGAGGCTGTGGCGGCCGACATGTGATCTTCTTATAACGGCCATATGGATAGACGAAAGTGTGTGATCCACGCTGGACCCTCTTATAACGGCCATATGGATAGACGAAAGTGTGTGATCCACGCTGGACCCTCTTATAACGGCCATATGGATAGACGAAAGTGTGTGATCCACGCTGGACCCTCTTATAACGGCCATATGGATAGACGAAAGTGTGTGATCCACGCTGGACCCTCTTATAACAGCCATATGGATAGACGAAAGTGTGTGATCCACGCTGGACCCTCTTATAACGGCAATATGGATAGACGAAAGTGTGTGATCCACGCTGGACCCCCTTATAACGGCAATATGGATAGACGAAAGTGTGTGATCCACGCTGGACCCTCTTATAACGGCAATATGGATAGACGAAAGTGTGTGATCCACGCTGGACCCTCTTATAACGGCCATATGGATAGACGAAAGTGTGTGATCCACGCTGGACCCTCTTATAACGGCAATATGAATAGACGAAAGTGTGTGATCCACGCTGGACCCTCTTATAACGCGGCAATATGGATAGACGAAGTGTGTGATCCACGCTGGACCCTCTTATAACGGCCATATGGATAGACGAAAGTGTGTGATCCACGCTGGACCCTCTTATAACGGCCATATGGATAGACGAAAGTGTGTGATCCACGCTGGACCCTCTTATAACGGCCATATGGATAGACGAAAGTGTGTGATCCACGCTGGACCCTCTTATAACGGCCATATGAATAGACGAAAGTGTGTGATCCACGCTGGACCCTCTTATAACGGCCATATGGATAGACGAAAGTGTGTGATCCACGCTGGACCCTCTTATAACGGCCATATGGATAGACCACGCTGGACCCTCTTATAACGGCCATATGGATAGACGAAGTGTGTGATCCACGTGTGATCCACGCTGGACCCTCTTATAACGGCAATATGGATAGACGAAAGTGTGTGATCCACGCTGGACCCTCTTATAACGGCAATATGAATAGACGAAAGTGTGTGTGATCAACGCTGGACCCTCTTATAACGGCCATATGGATAGACGAAAGTGTGTGTGATCCACGCTGGACCCTCTTATAACGGCAATATGGATAGACAGAAAGTGTGTGATCCACGCTAGACCCTCTTATAGCGGCCATATGGATAGACGAAAGTGTGTGATCCACGCTGGACCCTCTTATAACGGCCATATGGATAGACGAAAGTGTGTGATCCACGCTGGACCCTCTTATAACGGCCATATGGATAGACGAAAGTGTGTGATCCACGCTGGACCCTCTTATAACGGCCATATGGATAGACGAAAGTGTGTGATCCACGCTGGACCCTCTTATAACGGCCATATGGATAGACGAAAGTGTGTGATCCACGCTGGACCCTCTTATAACGGCCATATGAATAGACGAAAGTGTGTGATCCACGCTGGACCCTCTTATAACGGGCCATATGGATAGACGAAAGTGTGTGATCCACGCTGGACCCTCTTATAACGGCCATATGGATAGACGAAAGTGTGTGATCCACGCTGGACCCTCTTATAACGGCCATATGGATAGACGAAAGTGTGTGATCCACGCTGGACCCTCTTATAACGGCCATATGGATAGACGAAAGTGTGTGATCCACGCTGGACCCTCTTATAACGGCCATATGGATAGGCACGCATTCCCCTGCCCTTCGCGGTGTGTGATCCACGCTGGACCCTCTTATAACGGCCATATGGATAGACGAAAGTGTGTGATCCACGCTGGACCCTCTTATAACGGCCATATGGATAGACGAAAGTGTGTGATCCACGCTGACCCTCTTATAACGGCCATATGGATGGACGAAAGTGTGTGATCCACGCTGGACCCTCTTATAACGGCCATATGGATAGATGGGCAGAGAAGTGTGTGATCCACGCTGGACCCTTATAACGGCAATATGGATAGACGAAAGTGTGTGATCCACGCTGGACCCTCTTATAACGGCCATATGGATAGACGAAAGTGTGTGATCCACGCTGGACCCTCTTATAACGGCCATATGGATAGACGAGAAGTGTGTGATCCACGCTGGACCCTCTTATAACGGCCATATGGATAGACGAAAGTGTGTGATCCACGCTGGACCCTCTTATAACGGCCATATGGATAGACGAAAGTGTGTGATCCACGCTGGACCCTCTTATAACGGCCATATGGATAGACGAAAGTGTGTGATCCACGCTGGACCCTCTTATAACGGCCATATGGATAGACGAAAGTGTGTGTGATCCACGCTGGACCCTCTTATAACGGCCATATGAATAGACGAAAGTGTGTGATCCACGCTGGACCCTCTTATAACGGCAATATGGATAGACGAAAGTGTGTGATCCACGCTGGACCCTCTTATAACGGCCATATGGATAGACGAAAGTGTGTGATCCACGCTGGACCCTCTTATAACGGCCATATGGATAGACGAAAGTGTGTGATCCACGCTGGACCCTCTTATAACGGCCATATGGATAGACGAAAGTGTGTGATCCACGCTGGACCCTCTTATAACGGCAATATGGATAGACGAAAGTGTGTGATCCACGCTGGACCCTCTTATAACGGCAATATGGATGAAGACGACGAAAGTGTGATCCACGCTGGACCCTCTTATAACGGCCATATGGATAGACGAAAGTGTGTGATCCACGCTGGACCCTCTTATAACGGCAATATGGATAGACGAAAGTGTGTGATCCACGCTAGACCCTCTTATAGCGGCCATATGGATAGACGAAAGTGTGTGATCCACGCTGGACCCTCTTATAACGGCCATATGGATAGACGAAAGTGTGTGATCCACGCTGGACCCTCTTATAACGGCCATATGGATAGACGAAAGTGTGTGATCCACGCTGGACCCTCTTATAACGGCAATATGGATAGACGAAAGTGTGTGTGATCCACGCTGGACCCTCTTATAACGGCCATATGGATAGACGAAAGTGTGTGATCCACGCTGGACCTTCTTATAACGGCCATATGGATAGACGAAAGTGTGTGATCCACGCTGGACCCTCTTATAACGGCCATATGGATAGACGAAAGTGTGTGATCCACGCTGGACCCTCTTTATAACGGCCATATGAATAGACGAAAGTGTGTGATCCACGCTGGACCCTCTTATAACGGCCATATGGATAGACGAAAGTGTGTGATCCACGCTGGACCCTCTTATAACGGCAATTTGGATAGACGAAAGTGTGTGATCCACGCTGGACCCTCTTATAACGGCCATATGGATAGACGAAAGTGTGTGATCCACGCTGGACCCTCTTATAACGGCAATATGAATAGACGAAAGTGTGTGATCCACGCTGGACCCTCTTATAACGGCCATATGAATAGACGAAAGTGTGTGATCCACGCTGGACCCTCTTATAACGGCAATATGAATAGACGAAAGTGCCTATGTTTCTTCAAATAACAAAATTGACTTAGTTTTAAGATTATTCAAAATTCGTGAATGAAGTTGTTCAAACCATTATCACGTCTCCGAGCTATTGTTGTTGTGTCTGTCCCTGAACCAGGAAGTCCCCAGGTATTCTGCACGTGCATTTCGTGCAAATAAAAAGGAAGCAACCACAGATCATTAAGCAAAATTTAACCCAAATCAAACATCAACCATACCATGGCAATCAATCAAGTCGGAGAAATCCCACACATCTGTTAATTCGTATAATTTCTCCATTACGGAAATTAGGTTGAAGAAGGGAAACGTGAACATAAATGGTGGAGAATCAGTGAAACTATATAGAGCCGTTATCTAATTGATATGGAGCGCTGATTAACAATTCTGCAGGATTATTCAATTAAGTTGTTTTTTTGCTTTTTATTATATATAATCTATTTAAGAACCTTTAGTTGGATAATTTGAAACGTTCTAAAATGTGTTGTAAAAGTTTAGAAAGACCGAAAAAAAACCATCAGCATGCTCACCCAAATAAAATTGCGGTACATGAAAAATAACATCTTTTTGAAATATAAAAGGTTGCATTAACTATATCAACGGCGACTCGTATCTTAACGAAACAATGTCAGAGTCAGTGAATACACAATGCTTATTGGAAAGTGACCAAGACTTTTTCACTAAAGTATAGATTCTTGTACCATGAACCACTTTCTTAAAGGCATTGTGTATTCAAAGCTTCGGTTTTGGGAGCTGCGCCAGTTTACACTTGTCAGAGGGAGTCCGTCATCTAGACTATCAGTTGTCAGTTTACCATTTTTGTGTAAACCGCGGTGGATGATAAGTCTAGATCGCTGACTTTGTGTGTTGACGATTAGGTGCCTTTCTCAGCCAGAGTGGATGTGAAAATATCGTCTATGTCTATGATACTATTTCAAAATGTGGCACTATTACGATCCAATGGAAAATACTTTCATTAAACGTTTAGCATTTAACTCATTTTCGAAATGATGGAGGTCACTCGAAGTCACTGACCACTGAGAAGAGTTCAAAGGACTGGTGCAGCGTGGCGATGTTTGACCAGCCGAACTGTTTGAAGATCTCCACCCGAGCCGGGTTGACATCCACATCCGGGGAATTAGAACGGACGAAACGTGGAAACCTCTTCTTATCGGACAGGGATGGGGAAACAGACACGTACGACATCTGGAAGGAAGGGGTAGTGTTAATAATAACTGAATATACATCTACTAATACAGAAACCTGTTATTACGGAAACTTTCTCCACCTTGACAGATTTCCTTGGGCTCTGTTTGGATTAACGACGTTCCGCTGCTTATGTGGGGCGGTGGGGTAGTCTAGTGGTTAAAGCATTCGCTCGTCACGCCGAAGACCCGGGTTCGATTCCCCACATGGGTACAATGTGTGAAGCCCATTTCTGGTGTCCCCCTTCGTGATATTGCTGGAATTTTGCTAAAAGCGGCGTAAAACCATACTCACTCACTCCACTGCATATGAAATTACAAAGGTCTATGGCTTTGTATGGACGAGTTAAAATACAAATGATTCATTGATGCCCCGCAGTTACACTTATAACCTCAATAAATATGTGATAAAAGTAGCACTGGTTTTCCTTTCCATTGCCAATTATTCGTAACCAAACACAAATTCCTTTTAGACGTATTGGTGTCTACTGAGAAGTCGTCCATAAATTTATATCGAACAATCATAAGGTGTACTTGAACAATCCTACAGAACCTTTACATTTAGGGCATGTTGAACTTCATCATGTTGTTGCGCAACAAAGGCCTGTATTTATCGCACATTGAATGAACAAGGAGTGTAATATGTAACGCCTGCATTAGACTATTGCAATACTATATGCTTCTTTGGTAACGCTCACTCAGCAATATTCCAGCTAGATGAGGCGATCTGTAAATAATCGAGATTGGGCCAGACAATCCAGTGATTGGCATCATGAGCAGCTATCTACGCATCTCGGATACGATGACATGTGCCAAGCAGGTTGTTGACTGACTGACTGAGTTTGGTTTTACGCCGCTTTTAGCAATATTCCAGCAACATCACGGCGGGGGACACCAGAAATGGGCTTCACACATTGTACCCATTTGGGGATTCGAACCCGGGTCTTCGGCGTGACGAGCGAACGCTTTAACCATTAGGTTACCCCACCGCCCAGATTGTTGATGGTTACACACAATCCTATTGCAATACTGATGTCGTAGTGACGCAACTATTTAACATATCCTATTCAGTAGTTAAACACCCAAAACGTCACCTGAAGCCCATTTCTGGTGTCCTCTCCGATATATGTAAGGCTAATGGCGGAGGGTTAAAGTAGTGAAGGAGTGGTAAACAACTTAATCTTCACCGTGTGTATTATCTATTCCGGAATCATACCATATCTCTGTTCTACAGCACTAGAGTAATCACGGAAATAGAAATACAATGGCTTTTAGCGTTCATTTCGCAGTTTTGAACACAACTAAAGTTTCATTGTTAAATATTCTGTGACTATCGTTTTTTCCAACTTTTGTTTTTAACGCTTTTTGTAAAATCATCCGAAATAGATGAGCTTCCAGGCTAGCTATTCTCGAAACGTTCGTAGTCCTACGAACTTCTTAAACCCATTCTTAACACATTGGCTACGATCAAAGTTAAGAATTCTTAGGGCTACGAACGTTTCGAGAACAAGGGCCCAGGAGAACAAATCGTGTCATTTTTACCCCTTGAAATTTCATCAAAGTCAAAATGTACGTTTCTGATGCAAGCTATAGTATGCAAATGAGATGTACTCTCCATAGGTTCGTGTACAAACTATACCTTATGAAAAACGTCATATACCATTCATCCTTTATTTTGTGATCCTAATTGATGTACAGAATAATTGATTTAGGTACATTTTGCATTCCTGTGCTCTTGTTGAACGTTTACAATTTTTACGAGTTCATTCATAGCTTTGATTGTCAATTGCACAATCGCTATGGCAACGCACGTGCAAATGCATCTTCCCCTCTAAACAGTGCAGCAGGCAGGTGATAACACCCATTGTTGTTTGTGACTTAAGTTATAATATGTTTGTACATTTCTTGATAATAGGCATTTTTTGGTTATTTTTACCTGTAAAATGGTATTTTGGATGATGATTAGAGGACCTTTAAAGGCCTAGTTAAGAAAAAAAACATATTTCTTAAAACTACCTATTTTTATGAAGTAATAAACCAATAAACGCTCCAAACCATTTTATTTCTATTACCCAGAGTACTTTAGTCGTGGAACTTATACGGTGTCTCGAGGTGATGTTGTATATCTGAGGCTTTATCAGATCCAGTTCCACCTTCTTTGCTAACGTCGAAAGCCGATAATGGTACATCTAAGAACCACCTACCTGTACTAGGTTCCACAGATGTGAGGACTGCCCCGTGGCCTCGCTCACCCCAGAACAACCATCCCCAAGGATCAGGATCTTTGTGGGTGGGGAGTACAGGTGCTGGTACATGATGTCCACCCCCAGGCCGGGGTTACACTGGAAGAAGGACGTGAATGATCAGAGAAATGTTCATAAATTTGCAGGGGCGGATACAGCTTTTGGAGAAAGGGGGGTGCACACTATTGAGAAAAGGAGGGGTACACACTTCATTTTCACCCGAGTTTCAATGGTCATGTAACAAACTTTCAGCACAAAGGGGGTTGGGGGTGGGCGCACCCCTGCACACACACCCAAACCCCTTCTGGATCCGCCTATGATTTGTTACCACTTGTGTATGTAAACTTGAAATATATCTACAAAAATGTCTTAATTTAATGGCTTACAATTATCTAAAATTAAAGCGTCAAGACCACAAATACCCCGAGTGATGCAGCTGTTATGGGTATATCTTGCCCACAGGTTTAAGTCAGCCATCGTAAAACAATTGAAACAACTTCATGATAGATAGAAAAAGGTTCTTGAGTTGGGGCTAGCTTGTGTCACATCAGTTTCATCGACTCGTAGAGATAAGATGAAAACCATGTGTACAAGAGAGGTATTCTCAGCTCAGAAATTACAAATAACAGTCATGAGATAACGGTGATGCGAGTTACATGTTCATCCAGCCTAAAAGTGAATAATTATAATCAATATTTGTTTGCGACCACTTGTAATATAACAAATAAATAAATAACAATAATGGCTGTTTATAGAGCGCCTGTTTCCAAGCACTGTGCATCTCAAGGTGCTAACACATTGTTACCCCGGATAACCCAAGCTGCCTGTGAGGCGCTAGAAGGTTAACAGTCACATGACCTATCCCACCGGGTACCCATTTTCTGCTGGTTGAACAGAGGCAATTCATGAACAAACTCACTTGCCTAAAGTGAGACCATATTTGTCACGCGTACTTCAACTTTACTGGTACATCACAGTAGATAGACACATACGCGTGCTGGTGCGTTCCCACAAAGATGTCTAATGTCTGGTACGTGCATCACTTCAGGGTGTTCCCCCCACATCGGGCTGACATGACGTGATATAACAGGAATATTGACAAGTGTTTAAATTGGCATTAAACCAAACTCCCTATCTCAACCCAACTGTAAATGATCAAGCCTTTTGCCAGTCTAAACGATGGCTGACAACACGCTGACACACAAGCCCTTAATTAACATTGTCTGTCCACCCAATTTTCATTCCAATAGTGGGGCTGTGGGGTAGCCATTTGGTTAAAGTGTTCGCTCGTCACGCCAAAGACCCGGGTTCGATTCCCACATGAGTTCAATGAGTGAAGCCTGTTTTGGTGTCCCCCGCCCTGATCTTGCTGGAATACTCACTCATCCCTTATAGAAAACAACAGGTAAATTCTCAGCCAAATTCCCTGTTATTCAACGCCGCACTCAACAATATTCAAGCTGCATCAGTCTGTAAACATTGACTGAATAACGAGATGAGCATCAATCTTGTCAGTTGGAACACGATGACATGTGTCAACCAAATCAGCGAGTCCGACCATCCAATTTCGTTAGTCGCCTCTTACGACCAACAAGGGTTGCTGAAGATCAGTCCAATCTTCAGAAAGTAACCGCTGCGGCAATCAATATTACATACATGCAAACTAATTCTGCACTAAATACAGAAACTCGGTATTAACACCTGGTGGAAATACCCGCCCAACATGCTACCGTTGTCTGAGATAATATGACTCCTCCATATGGCAAAGTACAGATCAAATCCTCAGTTACATTTCTTCTATGCTTAGTTCAGCTGAGATAGCACACGTGGCAACTTCTCCCATTACCTGTTAGTTAAACATTATTTATACAGCAATGATAAATCAATCAACGTATTATCGGCTAAACGTTTGGATACCCTTTGTCAAAACATGTAACTGCACTTTGTACACACTGATTAGCGTATTCCGTCAAATTGCATATATTAACATTTTTCTTTGACAGATTCATTTTCTAAGATAATCAATGAATGAGGTATCTATAACCGTTCGATCATCTATTTTTGCATCGCCACTGATCATTCTTTGATCATTTCAAAGTGCAAATAAAATAAATATTTTCACCACTTCCAACTTCACCCATGAATAGTCAGAGAGGTCCTGAAGCATCGCCACCCGTGAAACTTCAGAAGAGGTCTTCAGCAACGTCACCCGTGAAGAGTCAGAACGGGTCTTTAGCAACGTCACCCGTGAAGAGTCGGAATGGGTCTTCACCAACGTCACCCGTGAAGAGTCAGAATAGGTCTTCACCAACGTCACCCGTGAAGAGTCAGAATGGGTCTTCAGCAGCGTCACCCGTGAAGAGTCAGAATGGGTCTTTAGCAACGTCACCCGTGAAGAGTCAGAATAGGTCTTCACCAACGTCACCCGTGAAGAGTCAGAATGGGTCTTCACCAACGTCTTCTGAAAGAAGCAGCGTCACCCGTGAAGAGTCAGAATGGGTCTTCAGCAACGTCACCCGTGAAGAGTCAGAACGGGTCTTCGTGAAGAGTTGGAATGGGTCTTCAACGTCACCCGTGAAGAGTCAGACCCGAAGAGTCGGGTCTTTAGCAACGTCACCCGTGAAGAGTCTGAACGGGTCAACGTCACCCGTGAAGAGTCTGAATGGGTCTTGACGTCACCCGTGAAGAGTCTGAATGGGTCTTCAGCGTCACCCGTGAAGAGTCTGAATGGGTCTTCAGCAGCGTCACCCGTGAAGAGTCAGAACGGGTCTTCACCAACGTCACCCGTGAAGAGTCAGAACGGGTCTTCAGCAACGTCACCCGTGAAGAGTCAGAACGGGTCTTCAGCAACGTCACCCGTGAAGAGTCTGAATAGGTCTTCACCAACGTCACTTATGAAGAGTCGGAACGGGTCTTCACCAACGTCACCCGTGAAGAGTCTGAATAGGTCTTCACCAACGTCACTTATGAAGAGTCAGAACGGGTCTTCAGCAACGTCACCCGTGAAGAGTCTGAATAGGTCTTCACCAACGTCACTTATGAAGAGTCGGAATGGGTCTTCAGAAACGTCACCCGTGAAGAGTCTGAATAGGTCTTCACCAACGTCACTTATGAAGAGTCGGAATGGGTCTTCAGAAACGTTACCCATGAAGAGTCAGAACGGGTCTTTAGCAACGTCACCCGTGAAGAGTGAGAATGGGTCTTTCATCGATAGTTTTAAAGATATAAAGATATCCTTTCATGCGGAAATTGCTTTGAATGCTTTCTTTAGCGTGTCACTTACATTTTCAATATTGAAATTCTGTCGAAATCAATGGACCTGGCCGTCATGGTGTCGATATCGGTAACACTGACGCTGGTTGTAACTCGATTGCTGTCAGTAGCACAGCAAATATTAAACTGGTTCATGAAAGTAATATAAGAGAACCACGGGAATGGCGCCATAACTTAGTGTAGGTTTACCAAACTGGACCGCCATGCTGTGACAAGACCGCCATGTTGGGCGACAGCATGTACAGAATCCCTTCATGCAGGCATCCGAAACAGCACGCCAGACAGTGCGAACACACGGAAGACCAGTACTGATACAGTACGCCGACGTCTTAACAGTGGGAACATCCATTGCCGTAGACCTTACCATGGACCTATCCTCACCCCTCGTCATCTGCGTGAACGTCTAGAGTTTGGCCTACAACACCAAAATCGGCGATACAAGCAATGGAGAACTGTTCTGTTCACGGAGAGTCGGTACTGCGTTACAACTGCAGATGGCAGAACAAGAATACAGCGACGACGTGGGGGGGTTTCTCAGACCAATGTGTTATGGAAAGAGACTCATGGGAAGGTGCAAGCATCATGGTATGGGCCGGAATAGGCTCGAACCAGAGAGTGGGTCCTGTGGTGTTCCAGAACCTTGGTCCAGGGAGAGGAGACGGATCACAGCGATGCGCTACATCGACCAAACTCTCAGACCCCACGTCATACCACATTTCTCACATCACCGGAACAACATTTTCCAACATGATAACGCCCGGGCCCATACTGCCAGAGCTACACGGGACTTCCTACAACATTAACAGTGGCCAGCCCTTAGTCCTGATTTAAACCCAGTTGAACATCCTGTTTGGATGAAATTAAGAGGAGACTGAATAATGTTATACCAAGGCCGAACACAGCCGATTTATTGCGCCAGGCCTTTCTCAGAGCGTGGTTCAAGGTGCCAATGGCCTTCATCAATCAATTGGTGCACTCCATGCATAGACGCTGTACTGCAGTTATTGCCACTCGTGGTGGTCACACTAGTTACTGAAGTCAAGAGTCTGAATGGACTGCAAACGTTCACGTAATGTCTTGGAAATGTGCTGAGTTATTCATTGATATGTTAAGATATTGTACACAAAAATGTTTTTGATCCGCCTTGTATGTCCATTTCTGTAATGATTTGATTACAGTGCCTATCTAAGTTTGAATTCGTACTGACGTTTTTATGCTTTTGAGTATATTTGCTCTACGCTCTAGACCATCCAACAATACACAAACGTTTAGTTTGTGAATTGTTTTTTTCATTAAGTTTTCCCCTATATTCTAAAAACTATACATGCAAAATCGGGTTTCACTTCGTGGTCAATAGTCTGCAAGATCAAACGGGTATTTTTTCGGAAGCGAGATTTAAAAAACTAATTAAAAAGAGCAATGTCAATGTCGCTGCGCTTCCTCTGTGGCGGAGCTAAGTGTTTTTTGATATTTCAGTAAACAATCACATAACTCTTCTCTGAGATTCAGATAATAATCTTCGTCTTCTGCAGTGAGTAAAGCGAACATAATGGCTTTCTGTTTGCCGAACTCTTGCAAATTAACGTCCGTGACGAAATGACAATGTTATTTCAACGGACTCGGGAGCGACTGGGACGAAAGTGTTCAATAAAGGTCAATAGGTCAGACTTAACGATGGCGTTTCATTGTGGTATCGCAACAGATTTGTTGATGATGTTTTGAAGAAGCCGAGAAAAATTTGGGTTGACTAAGTACACGATCATATTTGTGCTTTGAGTACAAATGTCCAATACACACTGTCGTTTGACGGTTGACAATCTAACATT